CATTTGATTTAATGTGTGTCTTTTAAAATTTAACCATTGTATTGCTATTGCTTACAATTGTTTGTTATTATATTGTGCTTTAAAACAGTGTATACTAATTGTAATATTTTGAAACCCGTAAGGTTTCAAGGTCGGGAGTATGTTCAGTAGTGATTAAGAGTTGCCGACAGGAGGCGCTGCTAGCGCGTTATACTCTCGACCTACGTAATTTGAATTGAGTATTCTTTTCTTTTGTGTACTTGCTGTAACAGATCTTACAGCTTTGTGATTGAGAATTTAAAATGTTTTGGAGCCAGATCGTTCCTCTACAGCAACAAAATGATTAATAAATATATAATAAAGTAAATATCTTTGTGATGATAATCTTTGTTATTAAATACAAAGTCAACCAGCTCCTGAGTACAGTTCAAAAGTAAATTTTCAATTCTAAAGGCAAATATCACAAATCTGATATTATACTGTTCTGTACATAATATAAATTTGGTTGATTAGTATATACTTTTTAATTTGAAACATTGCTGACGATTGAAGAATTTATAAGAGTGTTTCTGAAGGTGTTGATTATTGTTAGGAAAGCATGCAGGGTCTATGCGGGGAGGGGATGTCTTTGCGGAGGAATTTCTAAGCAAAAAAAAAAAAAAACTCATATCCATGTTTACACATGTGGAAAACCAGGTAAGTGTTCATGCAGCCAGCCTATCCATCTGGAATCAAACTCGAATCGAACTATTAGCGTTCCAGTGACTTTACCGCTCAGCCACTGTTGGGCTGTGAGTAGAGGGACCATGAAGGAGAATAATTACATGCATTGAAAACTGAATTTTAAACTAAATGTATAAGGAAATCAATGGAAATTCATTTATCAATACTAGTTCTTATTAAATTAAAATACTGCATAAAATAAATTCATAAAGCTATTGAATGAAAATTTCCATTAATTAACATATATAAGACGTGTGTAAGGAATAATAGATTAATTATTTCTAATATTATTTAGTAATTTTCTTTTAAAGGAATTAAAAAATAAAAGCAAACAAAAGCTTTTTTAGAGAAATTATTCTGCTATTAAAAATGCTGCTGGAATTCACATCCCACCTTATCCAAAATTAAATAAATGTATTTTTAAGTGATAAGTCAAGTTCTGAAGAAATATTAAATATGAATACATTCATCTTAATTATTTAGAAAAAAGTGAATGTGAAAAATTAAGAGAAAAAACACTTTCTCTTAATAAAATAAAGCTTTTTATTAAGAGAAAAAAGATTCCCCCCCCCTAGCTAGATGTGAAAAAAATTATTTGCAAAAATCTGACATCCTGAAAAATTAATACATGCATACACACACTCGCTCATATTTATATGCATTCACACACATGTAATGATACATATAATTAATATATGATTATATATTGAAAATATATGTATGTGTGTGTATTACACATGCACGCATATATATATACACACACACGCATATAGAAAGAAATTTTGTAAAGTTTGTGACATAAATTTATATTCCTTCTGAAACAGTAAGAAATAATACTTTAAAAAAAATTTTAAAAAATAGCATTACTAGAGCAAATTTACATTGCAGATTAAAAATGTTTTTCATTGAAAGAAAACGCCGAACTTCGTAACGCCGAACAGCAGAATGTAAACAAACGTCAGAAATGTGACATCACTCATGTGGGCGGAGTTAATGGTGACCCTTATCTGGATTGTCATTGGCCAAACTCAAGCCGTTGTCCTAGCAGTGTACATTTTGCTTATATGCTACCCGGACGATGCATCATGACTCAAGTGATTGATATCAAATAGTTTAAAAAGGGAGATATTTAATATTTACATTATTTAAGAAGCACTTGATTTCTGCTCTCCAACTGGCTACTAAAATGAAAAGAGGAGGAGGGGGGGTCTGCGGGAAGGGAGAAAGGCACTCCGTTTCACGCGCGACGTTAGCGCCATCTATTAATAACAAAAACAATTTTGACATTTTCGCATCAGCTTTTACATGACTTTGAATTTTAATATCTGAATAAGCAAAAAAAATGTCATAAAAATAATTGTTGTTTAGCAAAGGAATGCAAGATATGACTGAAAAAAATTCCTTTTTTGATCAATTACTATAAATTGTTTTTCTTGTTAATCGGAATAACTAGGTACGTTGCCGGATCATTGAGAGGTATTTGATATAAATCAAAGGAATGCTTCCTTCTAAAGTGATACTATAGTCTTAAGATTTCATTCAGTGATGCCTGGCGGACGAAGATAAACTGCCGATACGCAAAGAATTATTTGCCTCAACTAATAATAGTTCTGTGCCGTACAAAGGGTTCCCACGCTACCTGGAAAACCTGTAAACAAGGAAAAGTCAGGAAATATTATACGGCGATCCAAAAAAAGGCAATTTTTGCGGCCAACGTTGGAAGCGATCACTTTCTTGGCGAATTGTGTATCGCGTGAACGTCATTTGGGCAGCTGGTGTAGAGCCAGTTTTCGCAGATCCAATCATATTGTCTTTTAGAGAGACAAAGCAAGTTTCCAGTAACCTCGATAATCGAGAGACTCGCATGTGCAGTCCGCGTTGATCGAAAGAAAATACCTTCCCATTCTCATATAAAACAAAATCGGTTTAATCCTAGTATAGGGTAAACACGGGATTTGGCGACATTATGATGAGCAAGTAGTAAACGAGTCATTTTGGTATTGGTGACAATTTTCAAAATCGTGCCAAGGCCGTACCAAATACTAGGATTTTACTACCGAATACAGGGCTTAATTTCTAAAAGTAGAATTGCCGGAGCCTAATGGAAGACCGTCAGCAAAGAGGGAACAAGAGTAAATAAATAAATAAAATGATTATTAAACTCATTATTAATTTTTTAATTAAATAGTTAATTATATTAAATTAATTAATAGCTATTTAATTAATGTTTATAAATTGTTATTTAATCAATAATTATTATATAATTAAAATTAAATGTAAAAAAGAGAAATTTAAAATTTAATAAGCGACTTTTAATATAATTTTATTGCTAACAAAATTTTTGAGATAAAATCTCTACTGAAATTGTTATTCAATTACATAGAAGGTTGCGGCACTTCTTTTTATTTAGGGCTCCGATGCGCTCCGGCTAGAATTATGATTTATTATAGAAACTAAGAAGCATCGGAGCCGGCATCCGGTGGGCTCCGGCGCAATTTAAGCTCTGATCGAAGGGGGGGGGAAGTTCTTTTATCATTACAAAAATTAAATATACTTAAAATATAGCTGATGAAAATTAAGATAATGTTAAAAAGAGGGCGAAACTGAATGAGGGTATGAGTGGGTGGAAACAAAAAATGAGGGGAATCTTGGTGAGAGAGAACGTTCTCTTTGACCGCGCCTCTTTGCTGATATAATTATAGCCATCAAGCGGATGTGTGTCAGGGATAAAATGAGTTTTCAATCTGACTCCTAAGGATGAATGCAAAGTTGCTGGTTACGCTTTTTGCCCCCTCCCCGTATTTTGTTAAATTAGTGGATACTCTGGTAAGACGATGTATAGGACGTGCTTGAGCAGTTTATCTCAGTATTTCACTCTTATTGTACTCGCTGTCACTTAACGCACATTTAAGAATACAAATTTTCCTTTCTGCGAGGATAACTTACTGTAACCATCGATAACAATACACTAGATACGATGGCATGGAGAGAAATTTACGCGTTCCTAAACAAAAGCTCCCAAATTTATTGCCCTTCTTAAAGGGAAAGGTTTCCGCATGTGAGTGAAGGGACTTTACTTGAATGTCTCATGTTCTCGTGAGCTCGTATTTCTAGGGAAATAGAGTATTGCAAGATCTGCTTATTGTTAAACTAAAACGTTAGTAATTCTAAATTTTTTTTTCTTGAAATTGTGGCTCAGTTTTATAAAAAGAAGTACCGGAGCTCATTTTATTTAGGGCTCCGGTGTGCTTCGGCTAGAATTGTAATTTATCTTAAAAATTCAGAAGTACCAAAGACACGCTCCAGTGGGTTGAATCTTTAAATATCTTATTTGTCATTTTACAGTAAAATAAAAAAATAGTAATCAGTCATCTAGGCTAACATTTAATATAACTATATTCGCCAAAATATCGTTGATTATTGTAATTCAATTTTTTAATCTTTAAAGTAGTAGCAACTGATGACATTTTGCTGCTAATGATCACTAAATGTTTCCCTTGAATGAGGTCTTGAATAATATTTTTTACATTTCATACAGAACTGCACTATAAGCATTTCTTTAGACATAGTAGTAGAAATACATCATACTAAATTGTGCATAAAAAAAAAAAAAAAAAAAAAAAAAAAAGCTTGTGGTTTTAATATGGAATATGCATTTTTGTTGTTTTAATATGGTTCTGCAGCTTATATGATCATGAAAAATCTTAAATGTACTAATGATCTATGCAGCATATTTGTTGCTGCATTTAAAACAGATGAATTCAGTTTTCTAGGATTTTGTTTGGGAAGGTAGCAAATTAGTTTGCTTTTTGAATTTAAAGCTGTTTAAATGTAGTGATAACCTTTGTTGTACCCTTAAGATATAATTGTCCCCATTGCTGATTTTTCTCATTTAATTGATATTTTAGTGGACTAACATATTTGTGTTTTATAGTTATTTGACTGTGTTTCTTTCCTTCTTCTGTTTTTGTTTCCCTCTCTGTCTGTGCTGTAGCGACAGATTTTTGATGGCTGAAGTGAGGGAAGCATTGCTAATGGCTCCATCTATTGAGGTAAATATTATCCACTGTTCAGAATAACAAATTCATCAGCAAGAATGTAACTGCAGAATTTCGTTTGCTACTTGATGCCTAAGTTATCACATCAAAAGTGCACTTCTGTTGCAAGTGCAAACTCTAGATAAAATTTTTATATTTAAACCTGTCGCTACATGCACTTGTCCACTCAGTCTTTAAATCTTTGAACTGTTTTGAATATTTCAGATGTATTTTAATTGCAGCTTTCAATATTTCTTTTAGTGACAATGGTTTTAGGTGTACCTACAGTTAAAAGGGAAGTACAAAGTTATTTAATGTCAACATTGCAAAATCTCATTGAAAATATGTCACCTGAACAGCAGAAAGATGCTGTTATCGTAGTATTTATTGCTGAAGTAAGTGTAATTATTTGCAATATATTTAGTTTGAATTATTAGGGTTTTTTTTTATTATAATATATTTTCGAGAATGTCACAGTTCTAATTAAATGTATTTAAAAAGCAAATAAATGATATCCTTAAAATAATAAAATATGCCACCAAAGCTGTTTTGTGAGAAAAAAGCTTTCTGAACAGTTTTTCACATGATGGACTGAGCTTTGTGGTAGGTTATTACGTCACTGAGAATATTTTGAGTAAAACTTTTATTTACTATATTAATTAAATAAGTCTAGTTTATACGTTTTGTTTTTCTGCTTAATTGAATAGTTAATAAATTCAGACAATATCAAAAAAATTAATAGTGACGGAAACAGCAATAAATGCCAGATCAAGGAAAGAATGGTTTACAAAAAAATACTTGTTCCTGAATTTCATAAATATGGACATTATAGCGAGAAATCTGCATATTGAAAATGACAGTAATCTATTGAATTTAGTTTTAAAAAAAAGATAACTATAACCATGCTGCTAGTTCATGTAGAGCAGTGATTTTTGTGAAGAAATTCAGGTATAAAAAATTAATTCAACTGTATGAATTAGCAAAATTTGTCCTGATAATTATTCCCCAGTCCTAGTTCTGCATGTACATACACTTTTAATCAAAATGAACATCTGATTATCTCAAACTGCTATAGCAAATGAGATAAGGCATTAGCAAATATTTTTTTCTTTTGAAATAGGTAAAAAGTTAACTGGATTTAGAAATTAAATTTGATAGCCATTTAAATATTCTACTGCATTAAGAAGTATGCTAAATGTTTATTTCTCTACTAATAAATACTCTTAGTAGTTTACACATATTTGTAAGCATATCTTTTATTTTGAATGTATTTTTAGCAGTCAAAATTCATTCAAAATGCCACTTTTTTTTTTTTTTTTTTTTTTGTAGACAGTGCACTAAAAGCTCAAAAGCGAACTCTGATGAATTTTTTAGACGATAACACACTGAAATGGGACCAAAAACTTTAGTTTAAAAACTCATTCAGTTTGTTATATATGTAATCTAAATTTGAAAACTGTGTATGTATGACAATCTGATGGAAGTAAAGGTAGAAGTGCAGCTTGACTTCCGAGGTCATGAGTTTGAATACTGTATTCTTTTTTCATCCTATCTGCAACTTTCTTAGCTCTGTGTTCCAATTTGACATACATTTGTGTTTTATAATTTATTTATATCATTATATGCATTAAATCGAGTAATTTATTTATATTTTTATTTATTTAAATTTCCCTCCTAAGAATTTATTTTGAGAATTTATAACATAACAAGAATTTTAAGCATGCTGCCTTTATATAAATGTTTTCATTTTATTTTCATGTGAATGTATATGTATGTGCAATAACTTTGTAATGTATTATGTATATCGTAGAGAATTCATTTTTAAATCACTGCAAAAACACGAAAATTTATTATTATGTACAGATATTCTGTAATATAAAGTAAAAAATATAAAATAAATTTTTCACAAAGACCAAAAATTGAAATTCATAAGTAATAAATTTCATAAAATGCTATAAGTGTAAAAAAGAATTTAATAAATGTTAAAACTAAAATACTTCTAACAAGTAATACCACAATTAAAAAAATCAATGAAATTTAAAGAATAAAGATTATAAAAGAAGAATTCAATAAACTCCAATGCCACTTCGTCAGTAGAAAGAACACTGCAATCAATTCAAATCTCTTCCATAAAAAATCCATGCTTTTCTGCATCCAGAATTAGCCGACGAACCTTTCCAATGTATTTTAATTATAATAGTTCACCCAAAAATTCTGGCTTCTCCCCAAAGCAAGGAAAAAAGCAAAATAATTTCTAACCAAAATGTTTCCTTTTAACAAAGAGAACTCTATCCAAAGAATTGAGAAAGTAATTGAAATAATGAAATACCTTAGTGAAAATTTCAAATCAAAATTTTACCTTTAACCAAAGAAAACTTTATCCAAAGAATTCAAAAATGTAAGTCAAATTATAAAACATTAGTGATAAACTTAATCCAAGCATAATTGAAATAATTAAAAACTAAAAACTTTCAAATTAAATCCATTATTTATGAATTTAAATTTTTGGTCTTTGCAAAAAATTGATTCTAAATGTCTTCCTTTATGTCTGTACTAATAATTTTTCAGCAGCTTAATGCATTAAAATAATAGGCATGATTATATTATGTTTTTTAATAAATTGTTTAGTAATATATATACACAGTCCAGTCACATTAATGTGACCATCTGTCAAAAGCCAGAATAACCACCTTTCGCAGAGCGGACTGCTGCGAGACGTGCAGGAAGAGAGTCACATAGGTCCCTGAAGGTGTTCTCTGGGATGTTGAGCCATGCCGACTCTAATGCCGTGGCCAGCTGCGCTAGATTACGCGGTTGAGGATCCATGGCGCGAACAACTCGATCGAGATGGTCCCACAGATCCTCGATTGGGTTTAAGTCAGGTGAGTTTGCTGGCCAGGGGAGGACGGTAAACTCATCCTGGTGCTCTTCGAACCACGCACGTACACTGGCAGCTGATGGCACCTCGCATTGTCCTGCTGGAAGATGCCATCATCCTGAGGAAAAACAATGCGTATGTAGGGGTGAACATGGTCCGCAAGGACAGATGCGTACTTGTATTGATCCATTGTGCCTTCCACAATGATCAGTGAACCTAGAGAATGCCAGGAAAAACATTCCCCAGACCATAATGCTCCCGCCTCCAGCTTGGACCGTTCCGGCAATGGTTGCAGGGTGGTTCCTTTCAGAGGTTTCACGCCTTATACGCCAACGTCCATCTGTCCGATGGAGCATAAAACGCGATTCATCCGAAAACGCAACCTGTCGCCACTCAGTGGACGTCCAGCTGCTGTACTGGCGTGCAAATTCTAGCCTTCGCCGTCGATGAACAGCAGTCAGCATAGGTGCATGAACCAGGCGTCTGCTTCGGAGGCCCAGACGCAGCAATGTTCGCTGAATAATACTTTGGGAGACACTTTTGGTAGCCCCTTGGTTCATTTTGGTGGTCAGTTGCTCAACGGTAGCCCGTCTATCTGCCCGAACGCATCTCCGCAACCGTCGTTTGCCTCTGTCATCTATGGCCCGTGGTGCACCACATTTGCCACGTCGCTGATTTTGGACAGTCCCATTTTGCCATGCACAGTACACTTTTACCACGGCGGCACGCGAACAGTTCACAAACTCAGCCGTTTCGGAAATGCTTCCACCCTTGGCCCGAAAGCCAATGAACATGCCCTTTTGGAAGTCGGATAAATCGCTTCGTTTCTGCATTACGCCAACGATTGAAATGTTTTCCGAAGCCCTCACACACCCTTTATATACGCTCAACTGCACTGTGCTGCCACCTGCCTTCTGTGATTGGTTATTTAACTCTGACATGGAAAGTACGTGGTGGTCACATTAATGTGACTGGACTGTGTATATATGAAAGAAAAAAGCTTATCTTTATAGCTTTTAATAAAAAGGATTATGAATTTAAAATTTATAAATAAAAAATAATGTTTAATATGTTATGGGTAAAACTCATTAAGGGATGCATTTTAAAATGTGAGATTTATAGTAAATTATTCAGCTATGACACTTAAAAATTTTATCCCTTTTCTCACAAAATTTGCCCCCCCCCTTTTTTTTTAAATATACCTTCTCACATGGCAGTCAGTTTTACTCATTGAAAAGTATAGCAAATATTGCAAACCTTTTGTTACATTTGCTCTGTATTTTTAAAGCATCAGCTATTTTTATATGTGTTTTATTTTATTTTTTTTTATTTATTTATTTATTTATTTATTTATTTTTTTTTGCACTTATAGTGCATTTTAGTTTTAATTATATATTATTTCATACATATTTAAAGCTTCTAGAAACACAGAGAAATTTTTAAAAATTACTTAAGCATTTATGCAGTCAGAGGTGTTCATGATGTGCATTATAACCCTTACTAATCTAAAAATTACTAACGTGCTTCACTTTCACAGTTGCTAAGCAGAAATTAAAATTTCCAGTAAAATTGAATTTAAGTATTTTAAAAGAGTCCGAATTCCATAAGTTAAATGCAGAGGCATCCGGTGTTAGTAAATGCAACTGATCACCAAATTTCCATAAGCGCAAATCCAGCACAGTAATGTAAACGGTCATTCGTCTTTGAATGCGTTTCTCCCACTGATGCTATACATTCACACCACACTAATGGGATCGACACTTAAGGCTCATGGCAACAACAGACACAGTCTTACACTTATAGCCACAGTAATATTTGGGAGCTTGTTCTAATTAGATCAGACAAATGAGATTAGTCACAACAACATACATTTTGTTCATAAGGAAACAGAAATTTCACTTGGCAAAAAGAGAAAAGCCTTTAAAGAAGAAATATTGTAGTCTGCTCCCACTGTGATTTGTTATTCGTGCCTAAATTTGCTCTCACTTCCATTCATAATAGCCCAAAGATGAAAAATAAGATATAGATAAATTAGAAAGAGATGCCTTCATAGATAATTTAAGAGAAACTGGCTTTGAGATTTTTAAAGATTTTTAAATCATGTGCATAATTTCCATGATATGTATTTTTATCATTATCAAACGATTGTATTTTATAATACAGTCAAAAATCGTTAATTCGGACACCCATAATCCGGAATGATCTATAATCCGGACCTCAAAGCTACAAACTTTCTGCTCATGCGTTGCTTTGACGCATGCGCATAAGTGTTTACATGTGCGTGTAAGACCTTTACGGCTGCGAATATGTGCGTACACATAAAACGTTTTTGCATGCGCATTTAATGTATAACGGACGGTATAAGCTAAGGTAAAAGTAAATAATTCAGTTAATGTTGCAGATTGCGTTGTTCCTTAATCTTCGAATTGGATCCGGCTTATTATTTTTTGCAGACTGTTAGAGCAATTTTAAAAAAGTAAGCTTGAACTTTCGATTATATCAAATAGAATTTCCAAT